ACTGAACCCTGTGGTACTCCACTTGTGACATTTCTCCATTCCGATACATTGCCTCTGATTACTGCCCTCATTTTTCTATCAGTCAGAAAATTTTTCATCCATGATAGAAGCTTACCTGTCACCCCTCCAATATTTTCCAGTTTCCAGAACAACCTCTTATGTGGAACTCTGCCGAAAGCCTTTTTTTGGTCCAGATAGATGCAGTCAACCCACCCATCTCTTTCCTGTAATATCTCTGTGGCTCGATCATAGAAACTGAGTAAATTTGATACACAGGATCTTCCAGATCGAAAACCATACTGTCTGTCTGATATTATATCATTTCTCTCCAGGTGTTCTACCCATTTAGTTTTGATTAGTTTTTCCAATACTTTCACTATTACACTTGTCAATGATACAGGTCTATAATTGAGGGGGTCTTCCCTGCTGCCACTTTTGTAGATTGGAACTATGTTAGCCTGTTTCCACACGTCTGCTACGACTCCTGTACACAGGGATGCCTGAAAGATCAGGAGAAGTGGAATGCTGAGCTCAGATGCACATTCTCTCAGAACCCATGGTGAAACGCCATCTGGGCCAGCTGCTTTGTTCTTACCGAGCTCCTTTAGCATATTTTCCACTTCATCTCTAGACACCTATTCGCTCTATGTTGTTCTCTGGAATTCTTATCGTGTCTGGTTCTCTGAAGATTTCATTTTGTACAAACACACTTTGGGACTTTTCATTTAATGTTTCACACATTTCCTTTTCATTTTCCGTGAATCTGTCTCCCATCTTCAACCTCTGGATATTATCCTTTACCTGCAATTTGTTGTTTATGAATTTGTAGAATAGGCCCGGTTCTGTTTTACATTTATCCGCTATCCCTTTTTCAAAATTTCTTTCTGCCTCTCTCCTTACTGCCGTATAGTTGTTTCTCGCATCTTTGTATCGCTGGTATGTTTGGGGGTTTGGCCTCTTCCTATACTGATTCCATTTTTGTGTCTTTTGGTCTCTGGTCCTCTCACAATTTCTGTCGAACCAATCCTGTTTTCTGGCCCTGCATCTCTGTTTTGGTATGAATGTTTGTGTGCCTTCCTCGTATATTTTTAAAAATTTGGCATACATTTCAATTACTTCCCTGCCTAGCAACAATTCTGTCCAATTACACTCATCAAAAAAATTCCGAAGTTCCCCATAGTGTCCTCTCCTTAAATCGAGTTTATCAACTGTTTCAATGTCCCCATTTTCTTCTAGATGATATCTTAAAGCATAATCAATGTCTAACAGGACGTGATCACTCTTTCCCAAGGGACGAAGGTACTGGATGTCAAATATAATAATAATAATAATAATAATAATTTTTATTTAGGTAAGGTACATACATAGAGATTTTACAAAGTTTGTTGGCTTTATAGATAGAGCTAGTACATACAATGCCTAAAGCCACTATTACGCAAGGCGTTTCGGGCAGAGGATATCGGGCAGATTCGATATCTCTTCTTCTTTCCTGGTGAATA